TTCCCTAATATCAGTCATCCAAACACTTGTGGAAGCTCACAAGTAAGATTTGAAGGTGATGACCACCCCCATGGTTTATCATTTTCCCACCCATTTCATTTGCCCAAATACCAGACTGTCACAGCAATGTTGCAGCTTGATGTTGTCACTGCCAGTGCGACACTAGTGACATGGCCTGGGCCTTCTTTTTCTCCTGGTAAGTCCCTGCCCGTCCCCCACCAGTTGCCAGGTGGGACCTGGGTTACCAGGTGGGACCTGGCAACCCTAATTGGGTGAGATTGAGTGGAAAAGCTGTCTGGATCCAAACAACAAAACAACCCATTAACGTGGGGACGGTGGTCTCCCGCTATAATGGGAAGCCTCCCTTATGTTGGCCCCATTCCCCACTGCCATTTCACAGACCAATGGGTGACATCAGTTCTGGTGCACAAACAAATGCGACATCATTATATATTGTGGCAAAGATTCACAGCAAACTCTGTGGGCTAACCATAGAGTTTTGGGTGAATCCTAGAGTGACACCCCCGACATGATGATGGCGATTCCGGTTTTGCTTTGGAAGTGACAGCACATGTTAGTATCATGCTGAAGACATGGTCTGTTCCCCCCTCAGTTTCTCCCAGATAGTTTCTTCCAGAGACATGCCAGCTACATCTGGCAGCCCTGTTAAATCAAATCAAAAAGCAGCAATCTACCAACTCAGTTCACAAGGGTAGAAAATATATCTGACAGTGATGAAGAGACATATATGAGGCCATGAAAAACAGGAAGAGCTGTTAGAATGCTGTCACCTTAATCTTGATGATGGTTCTTTTGTTTCTTTCGTGTCGCCATTTTAATATTAGTGATATAAGCCCTTGCTGTGCAACTAACACCAAAAAAAGTTGGGGGAAATGTGTTCATTTTAATGGGAAAAATTCAACGTGAGGAAACAGAAACTGGTGCAAAGTGTGACTCCGTGTTTCATTTCTCTAAACAAAGTAGTCACATCGAACCAGCCGGCATTCAAAATTTGGTCTCGTCTCTAATTAAAACCCCCATCAGAACAGATACGCAGAGCACTCTACACCACATTGTCCTTCCGGCCTCCCTTTCCCAATCCAGAAGGCCATCTTTTAATACCAACATTGCTTCCCCTTCCAGGACCCACAGAGGGAGATCCGGAAGGTCATGGAATTCCTGGAGAGGCCCCTTGACCCCCAGCTGGTGGAGAAGATTGCCCACCACACCTCCTTCAAAGAGATGAAGCAGAACGAGATGGCCAATTACAAGACCATTCCCACCGCAATCATGGACCACAGTATCTCCCCTTTCATGAGGAAAGGTGAGCTGGGCAGAGAGCTGGAGAGGCAGGGGTGGGATTGGGATTAGTGCCAAAATGACAAGAGTTTACCATCATTCACCTGCTGGCCATTCTGCTCTCTCAGAGCTCTGCCTCCTAACCTGGAAGGTGTGGAAACAGGCCTCAGTCTTTCTCCTTATCTCGAATGTGACTCCTGTGCTGGGAGAGAGGCTATAGCCATCCTCTTCCTCACAGCTCAAAGACTCCTGGTGGTTTGGAGGAAGAGAGAGGAGGGCCAGCTTTGGGAACTTTGATGTGGTATATGATTACAACAGCTAGAATGACTTATGCTCAATGTTGGAAAGAAGACAAAACTCCGGAAATCGGGGATTGGATTAAGAAACTACTATTTATGGTTGAAATGGACAAAATGACAAGGAAACTTAAGAATCTTGAAGCAGAAGAGTTTTATGCAGATTGGAAAGACTTTAAAGATTACTTAGAAAAATATTGGGATGTAAAGGACAATTTGATTTGCTTTGACAGTTACTGAAAAACGAGTGTTATTAAGGGGAAATTAGTTAAAAAAAAGAATAAGTGAAAGAAGTGTTACTGGTATACTATGATGAAGAAATAAGGGAAAAGTAGAAGTAAGTTTAAGAATTGGGCTGGAGGTTGGAGCACTGTGGGAAGCCGGGGGGGGGAGTAGGATAGAAATAAGGATGTACGATATAACCAATATTATAACTGGTATTTGATTTAATAATATATCCTAATAAAGTGATTTTGGGGAAAAAAAGAGAGGAGGGCAAGCTTTGGGAAACCGGGCCTTGCTGTCGAAGGTTGTGTCCTCCATTGGTGGCAGGGGAGAAGTAGGGGAGTGAGGAACTCTTCATTCCAGGGGTGGCCAAACTCGCTTAGTGTAACAGCCACACATTATAAACGTCAGATGTCTGAGAGCCGCAAGATACGAACAAATATTACACACACTTTTAAATTGAAAAATAGGCACATTTGCTTTTTATTAACATTAAATTAGATTGTGTGAAGGAGCCGCAGGCCGCTCCCGAGCTGCAGTTTGGCCACCCTGGCTTTATTCCCTCTTCCCTCAAAAGTGACAGGTCTTTCTTTAGGTAGCAGTTTTACAAACCTTGGCCTGAAAGTTGTTAACTTGCAGGTGGGGCATGGAGTCCTCCCAGAATTACGACTGATCTCCAGAGTAGAGATGAGTCCCCCTGGAGAAAATGGCCGCTTTGGAGGGCAGATTCAGTGGCAACAGATCTCCGCTGAGCCCCAGCCCCTCTGCAGACTCCACCCTCCCCAAGCTCTGCCCCCAGTGCTCCAGGGATTTCCCAACCTGGCAACCCCACTCGGCCTTGTTCCTCTTTAGCTTTTGGCAGGGGTCATTTCGTAGAAAAAGAGGTGCAGGACCTCATTAGCATAACTTATTTGCATATGCCACACCCCCTGACATCACTGGAAGTGTGTCAGAAGGCAACACCCACCGCTCAGGCTCCACTGGATTGTTTTGGATTGCTAGCTAGTGGATGGGGGGAACGTGCAGATCTGTCCTCGCAGAGGAAGGAGAGCTTGTACCTGAATAAAACTTGGTCTTAAAGGTGCCACTGGGCTGTTTTGGGCGGGGGGGGGGGGCTCTGCAACTTACCTGGCTGCTTCTTGCTCTGACTTGGGGCTGCGGGGATGAGGGCTGCTGGGAGCAGGGGGTGGGGCTTGTTGCATGTGCCCGCCCCCTGGGCTCTTTACTGCCGGAGCTCCGCTCCTGTGCACTCCTGCAGGAAATGACCCCTGGCTTTTCTTTTCCCTTCCATTCAGGAATCACTGGCGACTGGAAGAACCTTTTCACAGTGGCTCAAAATGAGATTTTCGATGAGCATTACAAGAAGCAGATGGAAAGAACAACTCTCCACTTCCGGACAGAGATCTGAATGCTCCGTCTGAGCTGTTTCCAAACTCCACCATCTTATTAACAGCAAGATGGTGGTACTTTTAGCTTCTTTAAATCTACCTACTCAGGTTCCCATCTGATGATTAGATGTTCAACTAAGATGTTGGAGAACTGAAAAACGGAAGCCATGATTCATGGATTCTCTTTCACATTCAGCTGCCTCTGAACACGCAGAATTTCTATGGTGAAGACAAACATACGTCACTTGAGTACTGAGCTTGTTGTGGATCTGCATTTACCCCTTTCTGGACAGGCACACATACTTCCAATCCTCCAGACCAGCCGAGAAGTTACTGGTTCTTCCTGTTTCCTGTGTGGCATGTTGATTGGCTAACCCTTGAGGCAATCATGGAGTCACTGCTGCACTGTGCAGAGTTCTGATTGGTTGGCCTTGAAAATCACAAACCCCTCTCCTTTTTTTTAGAACAGTGCCTTCAAGTTTGTTTTTAATGCCAAACAAAGAGAGACAATGTAGCATACTGGTTAGAACGTCATCAGTATCAAATCCCTCACTTAGCTATGAAGCTCACTGAATGATCTTGGGCCAGTGTAGATCACATGATCTTGGGCCAGTGTGTATCTCCTGGTTGTTTTGAGCCTAAAATGGAGGGCGGGAGAATAAACATTTCAGTGGATAAATGTACTAGGTTCTTGGAGGAAAAAAAACTAAACAGAGCCCCTCTGCTTTCTCAAAGCAATGGCCAAGTGGCCAAAATCTATACTGGATATAGAGTTGCCAACTTTGAGTTGGTAAATTCCTGGAGATTTGAGAGTGACGCCTGGGGAGGGAACTCAGTGGGGTATAATGCCATAGACTTCAGCCTCCAAAGCAGTCATGTGATCTCTGCAGTCTGGAGATCAGTTGTAATTCCTGGAGGTCTCCAGGCCCCACCTGGAGGCTGGCAAGCCTGAATCAAAGCAACATTTGTATGTCAGAAGTGAAGTGACAGAAAAGCAGAGGTCCATTTATGGCAAGGAAACTCTCAGCTGCTACTGGAGTGCGACATTCTGTCTTCATCTCTCTCACTGGCTGCTCTTTCTTTCTGTTCCCCGTTAGTGAGAGAATCTGAGCCTTCTCTATTTCCTTCAGGGTTCAGGATTTTTTTTAAAAAAATCTGTCTCTGGCTTCCTAGTTTAATGGAGGATTCCTATCAAGAACCAGCCTCTAGCATCCATTCGAGGTGCCTTCAAGACCCCTTCAACTTATCCCCAAGAACAGAAAAGAAAACCCTGAAGAGGGAGACAATTTCTCCATTAAGATAGATTCAGGTGGGTTACCCGTGTTCAACTGAAGCAGCAGACCAAAGTTTGAGTCCAGTGGCACCTTTAAGGCCAACAGACTTTAATTCAAGGTATGAGTTTTTGTTGCACGCAGTGCGTGTGCATGAAAGCTCATCCCTGGAATAAAACTATTGGTCTTAAAGGTGCCACTGGACTCAAAATTTCTCCATTGTCAGGCATAATTCAATGCTGCTGTGAACCACCATGTAACTTTCGACATAGGTAACATATTAGCTCATAGGCACTGAAAATAAAAATGACATCTGCAGCACCTTAAGAGACGGACAGTCCTGCTGTTTATTAACTTCAGACTCCCTACCTTGTCAGCGGAAAAGGATTTGTGAACATCTGGAGATTGTTACATTTCTAAAAGAAATGCATTTTTGCCTTCTGTTTACGCTTTTGGGGCCTGGAGAGATTTTTCTGATACTGGAACTGCTCCCTTCGTTGTTTTGTCTTTTTAAAGAATTTAGATAACCTTTGTATGCAGACATATACTCACTTCGGAACACCAAGCATTTGTATAAAATGCCACAGATTCTCAGACTTACACGGCTTACATCTCTCATTCTAGTCATGAAATAAAACAATTTCTCTCCCCCTTGAAGCTGTTTCTCTTGGGCTCCCTTTGTGAAATCTAAACATGTTTCTCTCTTTATCAAACTATTCTTAAGATGTCTTAAATCATCAGTAGAAGAGAAGTCAATCTTGGATCAGGCCAATGGCCCATCCAGTCCAACACTCTGTGTCACACAGTGGCCAAAAATACCAGGTGCCATCAGGAGGTCCACCAGTGGGACCAGGGCACTAGAAACCCTCCCACCGCTGCCCCCACCAGCACCAAGAATACAGAGCATCACTTGCCCCAGACCGAGAGTTCCTATCTGTACCTTGTGGCTAATCATATTCTCTTCCCTGGTGTAGTACTTTTTTTAAACTGAAACTCTGTTCTTCCTTTTGAAGTAGTACAACCTGTGTTCTTTTTCAGAACTCTAGGCTTAAATAAAAGATGCATATATAACGTAGAAATGACGGGTCATTCAAGCTGCATCTGCCTTATGAGTCTGTGATCTGTTCTGATAACCCCTAAAGGACTAGAACAAAGTCAGAGTCCAGTGGGGCACCTTTAAGACCAACAAAGTTTTATTCAAGATGTGAGCTTTCGTGTGCACACACTTCATCAGACATTGAAATGGAATTACAGATCATAGTTGTATATATAGATGGCTTGTTATATTAGCATGCAAGATAGTGAAAATGTTTTTTAACAGATCAAAAAAATGACAAGCTGGTTTCTGGTTATAATCTGTTTCGGTTCAATGGGGGGACGACAACAACACAGTTAATGAATATGTTAGACCTCAAAATAGCTGTTTTATTACTTTACTGATCTACCCCAAAGGACATACGCTCCCACTGGGCAGAGCTAGGCTGCCAAAGATGGTTTAAACTTTGAATTTTGGCTCTGTAATGTCGGACTTTTAAATCTGGGCAAAGGTTATTAGCAAGAATTCAAACATCAGCCAACCTATATGTTTCCTTCACACTTTCCTGCTCAGGCAGCTCAGGCTCTGTGAATCTTGGTGGGGCCCCACCCCCTACCCCAGGCCTCCTCTGCTTACTTCAGCACCACACAGGCTGAACCAGCCCCAAAGAAAAAGAGTTCAGTGATCAAAGAAAAACCTAATGTCACTGAAATATACTGGGTTCAGACGCATTGAGTAATTAGCTCATAGTTTATTAGTGGTTCCAGCTCAAACTAAAGACAAACTTGCAGGGTCCGAGCCCTGCTTATATTCGTGAAACACACCACACCCAACACACACACCACTCCCAACGATAGGCTATTTACAGAGTATTGTTTACCAATTGACTATTACTAGGATCCGGATCTATCTATTGGTGCATTCTAGGATCCTGGCCATCTATTGTTATGCGTTCCAACCTACGCTATCTCGCATGTTCGCTGCGAGCCCATTTAGAAGTATGGTTCCATCGCGATACATAACAGTCACCAAGGAGCATCACTGCACCAAAACAAATATCTACTGTCAACTCATCTTACTGTGGAAAGCAGGAACTTTCACAGCTGTAAAAGTGCCTCCAAGGTTGAAACAGATCAGCAGACCGGGTATCCCGTATAGAGAGCCTGAAATTACAAGTTCAAATCACAAGTGCTAGGAGGGAGTGAGGAGCTGCGGTGGCTCAAGTGGATAAGACGCTAAACTGCAGGCTATGGAAAGTTGGTAGTTCAGCAGTTCGAGACCCGAGTGTGCCGCATGACGGAGTGAGCTCCCGTCTCTAGTTCCAGCTCCTGCCAACCTAGCAGTTCGAAAGCAAGAAATTGCAAGTAGATAAATAGGTACCACTTCAGTGGGAAGGTAACAGCGTTCCGTGCGCCTTGGTGTTTAGTCATGCCGGCCACATGACCACGGAAACGTCTTCGGACAGCGCTGGCTCTTCGGCTTTGAAACGGAGATGAGCACCGCAACCTTAGAGTCGGATTCGACTGGCTTTCGAGCAAGGGAAACCTTTACCTTTTTAGGAGGGAGTAGCTTTTGTTAGAACCATCTGCGTCTTTTCCACAAGATTGTGCAATGAAACTTCCCCTGCAGGAAGATGAGTGGATTGGCGTTTTTCCTTTTGAGAGTTGTGGCAAGAGATTTCTATGCGGGACAGACTGCATAACTAACATTATACAATGATTAAACCATTGTACAAGAATCATTACATCACCCAAGTATTTAACTTTATAATGTCTGAAATGATAGCCAAGGAGACCTCCGGCCCCCAGCAGGCAACTGGGAGGCCTTATGGGAGGTGAAGGTGGCAGTGATTCTGGGGCCCCATCCTGGCCTTTTGCCCTGGGCCCCAGCATTCCTACTATGCCTGCCCCCTGGTATGCGGCAGGGCTACAGAAAAGGATCTTAGACTGAATCCCTCTTTATGGGCGATTCTGCATCTGACATTCACTCCACATTTTCTCAACACTGAGGAAAAGGTGCAGCTCAAAACCACATTCAAACAAACCAGGCCAACGCAGTACTGACTGCAAAGTCACCCCTGAACAGCCATGAATCTATGCAGAAGGTACCATAAAACCCGATGATCAAAGAAAGTGAAAGCGGCATGCAGTGTAGCGGGCACCATTAAATCCGATGATCAATGAAAGTGAAAGCAGCATGCAATGCAGAGAGGAATTTCTGTTCCAAGGTGGGTTTGGTAGAACAACAGAGGGAATAGCCAACGCAGAATCGCCCAATATCAGTTGCTGGAGAGCACGGGCGAAAGGGTGCTGTTGCAGTCATCCTGCTTGTGGGTTTCCCAAAGGGAGCTGGTCAGCCACTGCGTGAACAGAATCCTGGATTTGATGGGAGCTGGTCAGCCACTGCGTGAACAGAATCCTGGATTTGATGGGCCTTTGGGGGCTTCATATGTTCTTATGTATCTTAACTGGCAGATGGAACAGTATGGGAGGGTTTTTTCCATCACTGGAAAACAATGCGGTGACAGCGGGATAATACATACGGTAACCAGACAATAGGAGCTGCGGTGGCTCAAGTGGTTAAGACGATGAACTGCAGGCTGTGGAAGGTCGGTAGTTCAGCAGTTCGAGACCCGAGTGTGCCGCATGATGGAGTGAGCTCCCGTCTCTAGTTCCAACTCCTGCCAACCTGACCACGGAAATGTCTTCGGACAGCGCTGGCTCTTTGGCTTTGAAACGGAGATGAGCACCGCAACCCTAGAGTCGGATTCGACTGGCTTTCGATTATGCCGGCCACATGACCACGGAAACGTCTTCGGACAGCGCTGGCTCATCGGCTTTGAAACGGAGATGAGCACCCTAGAGTCGGATTTGACTGGCTTTCGAGCAAGGGAACCTTTACCTTTACCTAACCAGATAAAATGTCCTACACACAGTGGCATAGTCCACAGTCTCCTTCCATTCATAAAGCACTTTCTCAAACCAGTATAGCCCTATTACCTTTACAGAAATGCCCCTCTTTTTTGCCATCAAGTCAAGCTGCTTTCTTATGACCCTGGTGGGGCTTGAAGGCAAGGGATGTTCAGAGGTGGCTCGCCATTGCCTGCCTCCGTGTCACGACTCTCGTATTCCTTGGAGGTCTCCCATCCAAATACTAGCCAGGGCCGGCCCTGCTTATCTTCTGAGATCTGACGAGATCGGGCTTGCCTGGGCTATCTGGCACAGGGCTACAGAAATGCCTCTTGAACAATTCTGTTTTCCACAGTTTTTGAGGAATGACAGGAGTGGGGGCGCCTTCCTGGCCTCCTCAGCCAGGTCCACTCCACGAGGTGGGGGCCACAACAGAGCATGCTTAAACAGGTCTCTTTCACCACACAGGTGCTCAAGACCAAGATGCATCCTTTCCCTTTCCTTCACAATTAACTTCTATTTATTTATTTACTTAATGCCCCACCTTTCTCCCCAAGCAGCTTACAACATTCTCCTCCCCATTTTTTTCCTTCACAACTCTGTAAGGTAGATGAGG